AGCCCGAGGCCCTGCCCCTCAGCCCCACAGCAGCCAGCAGCCCGAGGCCCTGCCCCTCAGCCCCGCAGCACCCCAGCAGCCCGAGGCCCTGCCCCTCAGCCCCGCAGCAGCCCGAGGCCCTGCCCCTCAGCCCACGCTCCTTCTCCCGCAGGGTCCTCACCGCCTTCGGGCCTCACGCTTGCAGCCCCGTTCATGCGTGCTCCGGCCGGCGCGCACTGTAGTCCGCTTTTACCATTGAACCACAAACATGGTTCTGGTTTGGAAAACGTCGGCTCGGGGCGAGCTGGCCCAGGACTGTGGCCCAGCCCCCACGGCTGGTCGCCCTCCACATCACTACCCTCGAGGCTGAAGACACACCCGACCCGCCGCGGGCTCCCTCTGCAGAGGGCTCTGTCCTTCCCACGACACTCGACACTCGCAGCCACAGGCTTCCCTAATTATCCAGTTAATGGTATTTGTGTCCGGATTCCAATCTGATTTATACACGTTTGACTTGGCTCCTATGTCTCTCTGAAGCCCATTTTTCCCACCCATTTGCTTACTGAAAGACTGTGTGCCGTGGTGTCACAGAGAGCTCACGCAGGTCTGTGAGCAGTCCTAACCCAGCCCGCCTGCCAGGCAGCGCTACTGTGAAGAGCTGACAAGGTCATGAGTGTCCAGCTCCTCTGTTAAAAAAAGAACCTGTGAGCTGCTGGCTCAGACCTGTCATCCCAGCTACTCAGGAGGCTGAGATCTGAGGATCACGGTTCAAAGCCAGCCTGGGCGGGAAAGTCTGTAAGACTCTAGTAAACCACTAGAAACCCAGAAGTGGTGCTGTGGCTCAAGTAGTAGCGTGCTAGCCGTGAGCACAGAAGCCAGAGACAGCGCTAAGCTTTCCCTTCGAGCTCCAGCCGCTGAGGGCACACACACACACACACAGGTGTGTTTTCCAGCCTCCCCTTGAGCACAAACTTAATCACATCAAAGGCCAGCTTTTTACACAGCACAGCCCAAATACCATTTTTTTTTGCCAGTCCTGGGACTTGAACTCAGGGCCTGGGCGCCGTCCCTGAGCTGCTCTTGCTCAAGGCTGGCGCTCTACCATTTGAGCCACTTCCGGCGTTTCCTGTGCATGTGGTGCTGAGGAACGGAACCCAGGGCTGCACGCACGGTAAGCAGGCGCTCTGCCACCCAGCCGCCTTCCCAGCCCCCCAACACCATTTTAAACTGCCAGCCATCGGGTCATTTCATAGGCGTGGATTTTATTGTACTTGACATACACATTTTAGCTTTGATGCTTCTTGCCGAGCCTGGCGGAGGGGGCCGGCCGGCCGGGGTGGCGTGCGTGCGGGAGGCCTGCCGTCTCTACTCTGAGTCCTCCTCCTCCTCCGGGAAGTGGGGGGCAGACTTCTTGGCGACGACGTTGTCCAGCCTCTGTCCTTGCAGGTAGGGATTGGCACTCTGGGAAACACAATTTGGGGTTAGCGGGCCTCAGAGAAGGGCCGTCTGCCGTCCACTGTGGGTCCACAGCGGGGGACGGGGGGGGGCCGCCACGCCAGACCGAGCTGCAGACTTCACTCATGCAGTCCCATGGGGACCATGTCACCCACTGTCTTCATCCATACAACGTGCTCTCTGAAAAAGGAGTCTTTTTGACCTAAAGATATTTTTGGCCAGGGGGAACAGCTCCTAAGCTCTTGGTACTTAGCCACCAAGACCCCTGCGGCCTTCTTCAGGTGGGAGAATCTGAAATGCATTGAGTTATTTTACAAGTAGACAGAGTGGGCCAAGGAGGAACTGGCATCTCAGCCACGGCTTGCTTCCAATGCACAGCACGCTGGGGGCTCTAGCCATCTTTCCCGTCTCCTTCCCGTCCCCCCCCCCCAGGCTCAGAGGGAAGGATCCTTTGTGTTTGGGGACAAGACTCCACAGTCTGAAACCTCTTTCATCTCTTGATGTTCTGAGTGACTCAGGGTTTCCCATTCATTCTCTAAATGCATATCTTTTTTTTTTTTTTTGAGGTTTGGATTTGAACTAGTCATTGGAGCTTTCAGCACAGTCTTTAGCGTAAAAAAAAATTCAAGAGTCTCGGAAGATATTTGTTTACTGAAACTGCCTTCCAGTGACGAGCACAAACACAAGAAATCCGCTGTAGTGATGAACGATGGTGCTGCCGGCTCCGGCTCCGCAGGGCGTGAGCTGCGGCTGCTCACGGCTGACCTCGGGGCCTTGGCACAGGAGAACCCAGACTCCCTTCAGACATGAGCAGACATTCTCTAAGAGAGAAGGGGTGGATCCTGGGCTCCGCAGTTTGGTTTTTGTTTTGTTTTTTTTTTTACCAGTCCTGGGGTTTGAACTCAGGGCCTGGGCGCTGTCCCTGAGCTGCTCTTGCTCAAGGCTAGCACTCTACTACTTGAGCCACAGCGCCACTTCTGGCTTTTTCTGTGCACTGAGGAATCGAACCCAGGGCTTTGTGCTGGCTAGGCAAGCTCTCTACCTCTGAGCCACCTTCCCAGCCTAGGGCTGGGCGATTTGCAAGCATCCTTTCATATTCTGACAAGTAAAAATATGAACCATCCTGACAGATGTGCTTGCTATACTTGCTCTGCAAAACCCGCATCACAAACAAGGTAAAAATTGCAACAGCCCGCGTCCCCATAGTGTAGAAAAGTGACACACCCCAAGAAGCCATGCCCCAAATATCCAGGACGCTTCTTCTGCTGGGGACTGCTGCGGTGGCCGGGCCTCTCGGGGCGGGGGAGGGCGGGGGAGG